CACAGCTCTGAAGGAAAGAGATGTCCACAGGTCGCAGCACAGTTGCAGAGAGGATGGTGATGCTTCACTTGCCATTGCTTACCTGTACAGAGCTACTTGAGTAAGTGAACACCTGGGCTCCTGGCCCTGGAAATGAGGTTTTAGTGCTTGTTTAGCAGAGATAGGGAAAGGCAAGGCAGTAGCAGGAAGCACTTTCTGCAAGAATTAACTTTATTGAAGTCTCATAATCTACCTCTATTAAAACTCCTGTAGGTGCCCCCTGAAAGTCACAGATTTCTTTAGTGTGTTTATTTGCCCCAAAGAGAGACACAGTATTAAGTGATTTTTTTCAAGCTTCAGCCTGTGTGAGGTCTTTGCAGTCAGTGTTGGCTGGGGGAGTGAGACACTTATCTTGGAGAATCTTGAAATATGAAGGATACTGAAAGAAATCAGCCCTCCCACAGAACAGGATAAGGTTAAATCAGTTACAGTGCTCATTGCAAGCTCTTTGCTGGAGAGTAGCCTGGCTAGATTGTTTTTTATTTGGATTTAACTGGGTTTACTGATCAGACTGCTGTAGAGTGACTCACTGATGTAATTTTAGGGTGTCAGGTTACTTGGGTGACTTACCTGGTCATGGATTCAAACTCATCTGCTGCTCTCTGAATGTGGAAGACTTCTCACACTAGAAGTCTGATATTTATGGTAAGAATTTAAAGTAAATAATTACATTTATGTTTAAAACAGCTAATAACCTGCAAGATAGAAATCTGCAAGGCTTTGGCTCTATTCACAGTAAGTATGAACACTAAATGCCTTTCATGATTGGAAAAAAGTTGACTCATTAGCACTGAGTATCGGTCCATCAAGCATACCTGAGTGATCAGCCCTGACCTGGAAAAGTCTCAAAGGATCCGTCTATACTGGTAAATTGAACGTGCCTGGGAATGGTTTCTGGCACTGAGGCCAGCTGGCACGAAAGAGCCATAAGCTCTTTGAGCAGTCCCTTGTCCTTGCAAGACAGGATGGCTGCACGTGAGCTGTTTGGGGTGGCTGCTGGCTGGAGAGCTCCAGCTCGTGGACGCTGCCTGAGAATGCTCCAGAAGAGTACAGGTTTGCATGGCCTGAAAACATGCTGGGCATGATCAAACAGTTTAGCAGAACTGATGATCACCTTTCAATACCTAGGAACACTTCTGAGCGTTGTCCCACTGGAATGTCTGAGCAGCATCACATTTCGGTCTTGGATAACTGTATGGAAGTTTTCTGGCCTGGCATTGGTGACCTAAATGCTGTTGAAGGTGGAGGAAGGAAAGCTGTCTCTGAGTCACCTGGACCTTGATAAGTGGAAAAGATAGTTCTGAAGAGGTGGAGACATGCTGCTTCTTCAGATGCTCTAACACAAGGCTTTGGAAGTGCA